CTACTTCCACATGCCATCTTTGGTGTGCCAAGGATCCTTAGGCCAATGTCATATATCAAGAAACTCCTTCGGATCCTCAAGGTTCCCACACTTGGCTTCCAGATACAGGTGCCACCAATCATGCCACTCCAGACATCGTTGTTCTCTCCTTCTCAGAGGACTGCAATGGTAATGACACATTACGTGTCGGTGATGGTATGTGATTACCTATTAGTCGTATTGGTCATGCTACCTTTAATTCCCCCTCTAGATCTTTTAAATTGTCTAATATCCTTCATGTTCCTAGTTTGTCTTCATCTCTGTTGTCTGTTCAAAAATTTGCATCAGATAATAAGGTGTTCTTTGAGTTTCACCCATTTTTTTTTTGTTGTGAAGGATATCAACACCAAGGAAATTCTTCTACGGGGTAATAGTTCTGGGGGGCTTTACAAGCTTCCCATTCCGAGTTCGTCACCAACTGCGTTTCTTTCGGCTAGAGTCTCGGCATCTGTGTGGCATGATCGTCTTGGTCATCCACATCAACGAGTTCTCAGTCAAATTCTTTTGTCTTGTTCAGTTATTGGGTCTAGTAGTAATATTCGTTGTTCTTCCGGTCTATGTAATGCATATCAGTTAGGGAAATCTGCACGGTTTCCCTTATCGCGTGTTGAGTCCTCTAGTTCGTGTGTCCTTGATTTAATTTATACAGACATTTGGGGACCTACTCTCATTCTTTCCACTAATGGATATCGTTATTTCGTTATCTTTGTTGATGACTACTCTCGTTACACTTGGTACTTTCCTATGTCACAAAAGTCTAATCTCTATGCTGTCTTTGATAAGTTTCGGAATATGGTTGAACGTTCATTTAATCGTAAAATTAAATCCATTCAGTCTGATCTAGGAGCTGAATATAAAAAGTTGCACTCCACCTTGGCTCAGTTAGGCATTCTTCATAGACAATCATGTGCGTATTTGGATTGCATGTTCGGCATATTGGTGTTGAGAGTGTGTTCCCATTTTGCTTAACTTCATCATTTACTAGGAGTTTTTGCTTCCTTAAAAGTATATTCCTTGAGTTGCGTAAGTAGGGCACATGACTGACATATTTATTTCATGATATGAGGGATTTCATCCTCTCCGCTGGGTTGCACATTCATCTTGATGGACCACTAGGTGAATTGAGTTATCATTAAGCTATCTTAAAAAGTTTCTTTGGCACTTACATGATCTTGATTTGAGTGGAAACTTGTGATAAGTGCCAAAGACACCTCGAGTTAAAGTCTTTTAAGAGTGTGTTTTATGCCTATTTGTTATCATTTGTGTACGATTTGTGACCATTTAAGCTATAATATGCATTGTGTTATGAAATGTTATCACACTTTGTATTCTTATGATTTTGGAAAGGATTAAGCTCAAAAGGAGACATAGTGGCGTACATCGGAGCATCACAAGACAAAGAGCGAACCGGAGCTGTGCTTGGACCAATCCACGCACGTGGGAGCACGTGTGGAGGAGAAACAGAGGGTCCCTTGCGACCAGGCTACGCACGTGGAACGGTGCGTGGGAATGAAATATAAAATTCCACACACTCATCCCATGTGCGCGGGACGAGCCATGGGACGGCATAAGTGACCGACCACGTGTAACACCCTACTTTTCTAAAACTAAATCCCAAATACTTAACTTCAAAAGATAAACTAAACAAGATTAATCATAAGATTAGACTCGGGTTGGACTTCCATTTGGAAGATTATGAGTTCGAGCCTCAGTGGAGGCGTTATTGGTTCTTTGTGTTTCAGTAGGTTGAGAAAGTATATGAACAGATACTACATTGTAATAAAGCCAGTAGCATTCAAAAAAAATAATAAGATTAGATAACTTTAATTCATCCAAAACCAACAACCGGTGTCACCGCCATAGTCACCACACACGATGACTGTACAGGCTAAAGAAAAGGGAAAACTATCTAGAGTCAAGCTCATCAAAAACTACATCCAAACTTGGAGAAACAAAACCCCGGTGTTCAACACCAACAAAAGCTCAATCTAAGAACTAACATCAGTTTAAACATCAATATCCAAACCGAGTCTACATATAGCATCTAACATCGATCATATCTACGCACTATACTATCTCATGCGCGCTCAAACACTGGGCCCACCTAAAAGGGGTTATAAAAACAGTAGGAAATAAACCCGTTAGCACGAATGCTAAGTATAAAGTCACTCAACCATGTAATGTACTATAGATATAGATTTTGAAAATCATTTGGCAAGAACACTTAAGTTCAAGTACTTTCAACACTTAAACAACAATCTCAAATCAAGTTCATCATCAATTCTATATGCTTGCATCATAATCGACATATAAACATGCTTTTTCAAGTAATCAACTTTAAACATATTCTCATGCTTTAACAGATATTCCTAATCATAGTTCAATACTCAATCTCATGCTCAAACTGAAAGATAGAGAGACACTAATAACTCAACAAGCTATCTCATGCTATCAAGCCAACTCATAAGCAACAACAAAGTACTATGCTTCCCATCATACTTTAATGCTAATCATGCAATAAGCTTTATATATATATATATATATATATATATATATATATATATATATATATATATATATATATATACTCTCGCTCTTTTGTAAAAAGAATAATACTTTTTCGGTGGAGGTTTCTGTTGAGTCACATTGACTCGCTTTTCTCTTCTTTCTCTTGAGTCACACAGACACGCTTTCTTTCTATCTTTCTTTCTTTCTTTACTCGCGGGCGAGGTAGGAACTTCACCAATATGTGAACGAACCTATCCGGGCTCGCAGAGACTGAGCTAAAGGGGGGCAGTTGTCCCCCCCCCCCCCCCACCCCATATATAACCTTTGTGTGTATATATGTATATATAGTACAAGTTTTAGTATTAGTATAAAAAAACTACTAGAAATCAACAAGAAATGAGTTAGATTAGTTAGTAAGGCATATGTTTATTTAGCTATAATAAAGGTTAGGGGTTCAAATCCTTTGGTATCAACATTTTTTTACTTTATAATGTGTTTTCTATTCAAATTATTTTATCAAATTAATTATGTTTCGTATTTTGTTATGAATAAAGTTTCGATGTGTTTTATTTTTTGCCCATATCTAACAATAATATTTACAACTATATTTCTTAGGTAATTTATTATTTTTTTTTTAAATTATCTCTTTTGTTTTAATGTTTTGCCTTTACTGACAAAAATTTCTGAATCTATCCCTACTTCTTTGCCCCTCTCCACATAATTTCTGGCTCCGTCCCTGCAGGCTCGGCATCTAGCCGACCTAATACTCATCTCGCCGATTGGTTAGGTTATAAATAATATCACTCAATTTTTTTCCAAGTCAATTTGTATATAGAAAGGAAAATGCCAATCCCGAACGTAACTCAAACAGTTCCCCCTTTCACGGTTTCACCATACTTTTCAATCGATTATTTCTCACCCATAAACGCGTGGAAGAATTTGAAACCACTCCATACGCTTGACTGCATCAAATCTAAGTTGTATGTATGCTAACTATCAACGTATTAGTTAGGTTGGGATATTTTTTTATTCGATAAGAAATTAGTGAAAAGTGTACTAAAATATTTCAAATTTTATTGCAAAACAATGAATTTAAAATAATTTTTTTTAAAACATTATTTAAAATAATTGTTAGTTCGTTACAGCTTACAAATGTATGGATTTTTTCTGTCATGCAAATTAGAATAATGCTATCAAATTGAATTCATTATAATTAACCAAGACTATGTGGTCTAATGGTACCCGGGTTGGACTTCTATTTGAAAAGTTGTGAATTCAAGCCTTAGTGGAGGCGTTATTGGTTTTTTGTGTTTCAGTAAGTTGAGAAAGTATATGAACAGATACTACATTGTACTAGAGCTAGTAGCTCTTCAAAAAAAAGAATTAATTGTAATTAAGGATGGCATGTAAATCACTAAAAAAAAACCCTAATAAAATTATCTCATACCGAATTGGCTCAAGTAAAACTATAAATTTGCGATTTGTTTTCAATTTTTATTTATCTAATTAAAATTTTTGTTTGATACTTAATGCAAACTGAAGTTTATAAACATAAACCAAGCCATAAACTGATTTGATTAAGATAATGTCTAAATTATTGTAAACTAGAATGTTTAGTAATGGTAAGATCTTAGGATTATATTTGAATAGTATTATTCATGTTAAAGAAAAGTGACATCAGATGAAAGGAGGGAATGATCAAGCCCACCTAAGAAGATTTTAAACCATTCGCATGCATTTTTTTCCAAGTCAAGCTTGACTTAGAAATGAGAGTGTCAATGTCGAAAGAAACATAACTGAGTGCTACTTCTCAACCAATAAATGCATGGAAGAAGCTAAAATCATATCATGGAATCTAAGTTTGTTTTTTTTTTAATTAGACTAACAAATAATTAGTTAATTAAAATTGTATTAATTAGTATTTAAGTTATATATTACAATTAACTTGCTAATATAATGATTTTTTTTAACATTAGTGTAATTAAGGAAGAGCTAGTAAACCAAAGAAAAAAAAATTTAATCAAATCAAATATAATTAAAAATGGACAAATTAAATATGAAAATATGACTATTATCAGACATTAAAATTGAAATGGACAAAGGTGAGAGGTTTTATAAAATACTATGTAGCCTGCGATCCTAGAAAGAGCAGCTAAGGTAACTCAAAGTTATAATCTCACCGGGCTCCGGATGATGACTTTAGGATTACAAGTCAATGAACGTGTGAAACAATCTAATCTCAACTAGAGGCCAATAATTATATATCCTAATAATAACTAATAAGCATGTACATACTTAGAGCAATAATATATCATTTTCGTAATTTTTGAACTATTGAATTATTGCATCATATATGTATCTAACAAACAACATAAGTAGTTGTCATATGCACTAAATATCTTCTTATTTAAGAGAGCTAAGGTTAGAGAAATAGTCCAAGGTTTAGTTCAAGAAACTGTCAAACAATAAATTGGAAGGAGAAATAGTCCAAGAATTTATTCATTTGGATTCACTCTGGTACCTTTACCTTGATGGTAACAATCTCACAGGCACCATAAAAGATAGTCTTTTGAATATCAATTTGATTTCTTTGGATATTAGTGACAACAAATTTGCTGGAAATATTCCAAGATGGATGGGTCACATGACAAGTTTAGAACAACTCTCTATGTCCAAGAATCATCTTGAAGGTCCTATCCCTATTGAGTTGTGTAGCCTGGAATTCCTCTCTATTTTAGACTTGTCAGAGAACAACTTAACAGGGTCAATTCCATCTTGCCTCAATCAATCCTCAATAGAGCGTGTTCATTTGAGTAAAAATCACCTGGGAGGTCAACTTACACATGCTTTTTTTAATAACAGTGCCTTGATAATATTGGATCTTAGTTACAATGAATTTGTTGGAACGATTCCAGAATGGATAGGCAGTGTCTCCAAATTGAGCATTCTTCTCCTCAAAGCAAATCGGATTGATGGTAAGATTCCAATTCAAATATGTCAACTTATGAGACTAAGTGTGTTGGACTTGTCTAGTAACCAACTGACTGGTTTAATCCCCAAATGCTTGGGTAAGATAAGTTTAGAGGCTACTGATGAAAAATCAAAATCCATGGAATCTGTGTCTATGGCTTTCCAGTTTGAACCTACAATGCTAATCTATTCCTCCAGCAGAAATAATTTCTTCATTGATGTCTCAGCAAGTAGTGCTCCTCCAGAAGTGGAATTTACAACAAAGGGAAATTCATATTACTATGAAGGTAGCATCCTTAAATATATGTCTGGAATTGATCTCTCTGCTAATAGGTTAATTGGTGAAATTCCATTTGAGTTGGGAAATTTGACTGAGATACATGCATTAAACTTGTCACATAACAACCTTAATAGCACGATCCCAGAAACATTTTCTAAGTTACATAATATTGAGAGCTTAGATCTTTCCCACAACAAGTTGAATGGGAAAATTCCAAACACATTACTCAAGCTCTACACATAAGAGGTGTTTAGTGTTGCATACAACAATTTAACAGGTGCAATACCAAAACAAAATGCTCAATTTGGAACTTTTGATGAAAGCTGTTATGAGGGAAATCCTTATTTGTGTGGGCCACCATTACAAGTCAGCTGCAGCAGCATTAAGTCATTGCCATCTCCATTGCCGACTAACACAAATGGTGAGAGTGAAGAAAGTACTGGTATTGATATGGAGGTTTTCTACATCACTTTTGGTGTATCTTATGTTGTTTTTTTGTTGGGAATAGTGTTAGTGTTATATATAAATCCTTACTGGAGAAACACTTGGTTTCAACTGATTGAGTCCATTGTATATAAGTGGCATGACTAAGGAAAAAACTAAATACTCATAGATCAAATGTATTGTAATTTGTAATAATGTAGAGACTTACTCATTTGCCAAGGCCACTTCGAATCTTACTATTTTATCACGTACTGTTCTTATGTTTCATTTTTCAGTATTTTCTAATTTTTATTTTTCAGTAAAAATTAAAACAAAATGTTCATTAATAAATATGTCAAGGTGAAACCAAAGAAGTTGTTGCGGACCCAACATTGGTCCTGGTAGGACTTGTAGCTACGACGAAATCGGTCAAGTTCATTCGTTTGGAGACCAGCATGAGGAATGAGTGTCAAGGAACTCACTTCAAATCTGTTCCTGTTTCTGATTTTTTTCATGAGTTTGATCTGAAACGTATTCTTGAAGATGAGCCCTGGACTTTTGAGCAATCCTTGCTAGTGCCGAAAAGGCTGAACCCGGATGAATTTGGTCATTATGTCACCCTCAATAAGGCAGAATTCTGGATCTAAGTTGATAAACTTCCAGTGAGCTTATTCACGGAGAAGATGGCAGAGGCTATTGGAAACTTCTTGGGAGTGTTCATAAAAGCCGATAAGAAAAATTTTGACGGAATTTGGATGTCATTCTTGAAAGTTCGCGTCCTCATTGATTTTACCAAACCTCTGAAAAGGAAGCTGAAACTAAACAAAGGAGGGCACCAAAGTTGCTAGGTGGAATTCCAATATGGACGACTCCCGATTTTTGTTTCCTTTGTGGTGTAATAGGTCACACAGAGAGGTGAGAATTTAGAGGGGGTTGACAAGGCAACGGAGAGACTATTTGGGGTGTGGCTGGGCAGGGCAATCGTGGCTAGTCTCAGAATTTCCGGTCCAGAATGAGACAAAACTAACCAAGGCATAAGGAGGTGGTGATGACAGGCGTGGAGTAGAGTAATACGGACGGTTACAAAACATTTAGATATATTTATAGGAACAGTTACAAAACATGTATATTATTATCTGAGAAAAAATCTGAGATATTTAAAAAAGAGATTGAATATTTAGGATATGTAATAAATGAACAAAGAGATTGAATATTTAAGATATCTAAGGGCATCCTCAATAGCATATTTTGGAATAGTGAAAAGCAGCAAGGTTTTTAATTAATGTGATATCAAAATTTTGAGGAACTTTTTCTCCTGCAAAACTTGGATTTTGCAGAAAAAAAAAAAAAAAAAAAAAAAAAGGATAAGGGTCAAATAGATCCTTCAACTATATACTAAAGTGCAATTAGCCCATCGAACTAAAAAAACCTTCAATTAAACCCTTAAACTTATTAAAATATAATAGTGCAATTAACATATTTAATCTATAATAGCATGTTACCTTCAAGTCACCTGCCATGTAGCATTCCACGTAAGATGCCATGTCATTTAATATTTTTTAAATTTATTTTTAAAAAATAAATTAATTATATTATAAAAATAAAAATAAATTAAATAAATAAATAAAAACCCATGGTAGGCTGGCAGCTTGGCCAGCCTGCCGCCATGAACGAGAAGTCATGGCTTCTCCGTGAACGGAGCTTACGGAGAAGCTCCGTTCATGGAGAAGCCAGCAAGCTTCTCCATCCAGATTTGGACGGAGAAGCTCGCTGTCTTCTCTTCTCCGTACATTGAGAAACCAATGAGTTTCTCCGTCCAGATTTGGACGGAGAAGCTTACTCGCTTCTCCATGAACGGACGAATGCATTTGATCAGAGAAGTCAGACGGACGGACGGAACGAACAAATGCATTTGATCGGAGAATTTGAATGGACGGACGGAACGGACGAATCCATTTATCGCCGGCGACATGGAATGGACGAATCCGAAGACTTTTATTTTAAGTTTTTTTTTCTAAAAAAAAAAATTAAATGAAATTTCACATAAATGACAAGGAAGCAAAATTAACTTGTTACTTTTTGATAACTTGTTAAAAATGATAATTGCACATTTTTAACAAGTTAAAGGGTTTAATTGAATGTATTTTTAGTTCAAGGGGCTAATTGCATTTTGGTATATAGTTAGAGGGTCTATTTGACCCTTATCCCAAAAAAAAAAAAAAAAAAAAATAGATGTCAGCTCCCTCCGCACCGGACCACCCAGGACCATTGGCGGCCACTCTCAATTTTTTTTGAAGCTTGCAAAATTTTTTTTTTCTTTTCGTTTAGCTGGCCATATTCTTTTCTTTTTGTTAGTATTCTGACTTATTTTTTTGTTATATATTCTGGCTTATTTTTTTAAAAGTTTTTTTGGTTGAATTTTGTTAATAAATTAAACTTTTACGTAGTAAACTTTATACGGTATATAAAAACAAAATTATCCATTTAACTTCATGTTTAAAACAGTCATATACTATTAAGATTTACTTAATATTGTAAATCCATTTCGTGCATCGCATGGGTATGTGTAATTTTTTTTTTTTTGAAAGGTGATATGCTTAATTTAAATATAATAAAAATAATAATTGTAATTATAATTTTTATAATGATAATAAATAAAGAAACAATTAAAATGTAATTGTAAAATAGTGGGTCCACAAAAAGTTGTGAAACAACTTAAAACTAATGGTAAGAAGAGTTTTTGTGATTGAGTGAGATAGTGGATAATGATGTGGATGTTGGGGACCACAAATCACAGAACTATATAAGTTCATAATTTGATAACTATATAATTTAAAAATTATGAATCTACAGTACAGATATTATGAATCCGTAGTATAGAAATTATGAATCTATTGTATAAAAATTATGAATCTACTATGTTTAAATTATGAATCTACTGTATAAAAAGAGTAAAAGACATTTTTGGTCCTAGACTTATAGTGGCACAGACAATTTTAGTCCTTCTTAAAAAAATCAGACAACACTCTTATTGTGACGAAGACAATTTTGATCCACCGTCGGAAACAGAGGTCGTCATTGCCGGATCTAGAGCGCCCCACGTCTGCTACACGCTGGAAAGGACCAAAGGTCGCCGGAGCTCATCGAGGAAGACCGTCGTTGCCGCAGTCGACGAGAAGAAGAGAAAGAGAGGGGAAGCGGAGCTCGTCGCTGCTAGAGGGAATTCTCTCGTCGCCACTACCGCACCCTGTCACCGCTTCGCCGGAAAACCAGAGGACGCCGCCGGTGGGGTGTTGCAGCTGTTGGTGAGCTATGCTACCGTCGATTTTCCATTGAGAAGAGGGAGAGACGAGAGAGAGAGAGAGAGAGAGAGAGAGAGAGATGGGAAGAGAGGTGGAGATGGGGGTTGTTGGTGGATTAAACTTGTTTGTTGTTGGCAAGGAAGAAGAAGGTTGAGGATGGGTGGTATTGTGGCTGCCATTGTTGTTGTTTTCGTGAATAGAGAGAAACAGAGAGAAAATGGGTCTGTTGTTGAAAAGACGCAATTATCCCTGCTCAAACGGGGTATCTAACGGAAATATTGACGGAGGACCAAAATTGTCCTCGTTACGATAAGAGTGTCCATAAATTGTCTGATTTTTTTTAAAGAGGACTAAAATTGTCCGTGCCACTATAAGTGTAGGACAAAAAATGTCTTTTACTCGTATAAAAATTATGAATATACTATTTAAAATTTATAAATCTACAGTATAAAAATTATGAATCTGGAACCGTGTCCATGCACGATTCCACAGCATAACGTTTCAGATATTATCTAGCCTCCTTATTTGAAAAGATCAAGCCCACCTAAGATTTCAAATCATTTACAAGTTTTTTTTTCCAAGTCAAGCTTGACTTAGAAATGATAGTGTGTTTATGTCGAATGAAATTTAATTGAGTGCCACATCTCAACCAATAAATGCTTGGACAAAACTAAAATCATATTATGTGAGTTTGGTTTTTTTTTTTTTTTTTTTTTTTAAATTAGACTAGAAAAATAATTAGTTAAAACAATATTAATTAGTATTTAAATTCTATTACAACTAACTTGCTAATATAAGTTTTCAAAAAATAAAAAATAAAAAAATTGCTAATATAAGAATTTTTAAAAATTAGTATAATTAAGGAAGAGCCAGTAAAACATAAAAAAAAAAAAAAAAAAAAAAACTAATCAAATTAAATATAATTAAAATGGACAAATTAAATATGAAAATATTACTATCATCTGGGATTAAAATTGGAATTGACATATGCAAGAGGTTTTTGAAAATACTATGTAGCCTATCATAGAAAGAGCTAATGTAGCTCAAAGTTATAATGTCACAGGCCGAATGATGACTTCAAAGAAATTATATGATTTTTCTGTTTTAAGTCAATAAACGTGTGAAACAATCTAATCTCAACTAGAGGATAATAATTATATTTACTATATACTAATAAGAGTCCAAGAGAGTTAGGCCTATAATAGGTAGAAAAAATAGCGATCAAATTTTTTAATCAAATAAATGACTTAGATTAATCATAATTTAATTTTTCCTTAAGATTAATTAATTTATTCCTAATGAATATGATTATCCGTTAACTTTTTCATTAAATATTATCTTTTCTGGTAATTTCTGTTAGTTCACCGTTAACTTATTGATTTCAATAAGAAAGGTCTTAGGTTCGAACCTCATCCCAATCAAAGTTGGCATAATTAGTACTCTATTTTACTCTTATTAAATTTAGTACTCTATTTTACTCTTATTAAATTAAATAATAATTTAGTAGCTACAACAAACAATAATACATATACATTTCATTAATTTAGAATCATGTGTCTACAATGTCTTTATTCAAAAAAAAAAAAAATTATTCATTATCAATAAATTAAATAAGAGAAAAAATTTCATTAGTTATATTGTCTTTATTTTTTTCCAATATAAAAATTATTTATATTCAAATTCATCAATTGATTATATTCGCTACATTGTCCCTACAATGTCTTTATTAAAAAAATATTCATTATCAATAAATTAAATAACAGAAATAATTTTATTAGTTATATTGTCTTTATTTTTCTCCAATTTAAAAATTCTTTACATTCAAATTCATCAATTGATTATATTTACTACATTGTCTATTATATTTTTTGTGCACTATTTTTTTTAATTAAATATCAAAGTTATAATACAAAATAATGCTATATATTTATTTACCAAGTATTTTATTAATACCATGAAAAATTTTAAAAAATATAATTAATAAAGCCAATCATATTAACTATTTAAAGGATTTATTGACAAAGAGGGTACTCAAATCACACAACAAATTAAAGTGAGAACTATCTCGCAATGTCCGTAATTGACAATCAGCATAGCAATTAGTGGATTATATTAGCGGATTTGACCAGCGAATTATATCAACGGTTGGTAAAAAGATATTTGAAAAAATTAGCTTTTAGATTAACATGTAAAATGACCTGAGGGTATATATAATAATAATAATAATAATAATAATAATAATAATAATAATAATAATAATAATAATAATAATAATAATAATAATAATAATAATAATAATAATAATAATAATAATAATAATAATAATAATTGTTTTAAAAAAATAAAAAAATATAATTAAGCCAATCATATTAACTATTTGGGAGCTTTATCGACAAAAAGAGTATTCAAATCACACAACAAATTGAAGTGAGAAACTACCTCACAATGTCCTTGTTTGCCAATCAGCAGTTAGCTCTTCAATGTTAGTATATATTTAGTATTTTATGCCCTAATTTTTATTTGTTCTCCCTTATGTCCTGTATTTGGTTTCAACAATACCTATACAATTATTTTATTGACAATTATAATCAATCTTGACTATATTATCTTGCATTTGTAAACTTAGAATTACCTATTTAAATACGCAAATCCAACATTCAATTATCTATGCATGAACAATTCCAATATAATCTTGCGTTGATATACTTTAAAGTACTTATTTAAAATTTTTTAAAAAAAAAACATTGGGCATTATCCCAATCGCGCAATGCGCGTAAAAAACTAGTATCTTAATAAACATATACATACTAGAACAATAATTTCTACAGAGAGTTATTATTATTGTTCAATCCTGTTTATAAAGTACAAGAAGCGATGTATTTATAGGGATACAAGAAATAGTCTTAGTTAGAGCATGACTCATACATGGAGTGTTACAAAAATATTTGGGAGAAGAGTTACAATAATATATAGAGATAAGTGAGAATCCTAAATCTGATAAAATAGAGAGACCTAATAGAAACCACTTCACAAAACCTAAGCTCTTGATTACATTGGAGGGGTCATCCATCAACATAATATGGACTATAAATCATCCCCACCAGTATGAAGACTTCAAACCATTTGCAACGTTTGTGTTTTCTAAGTCAAGTTTGGTTTTTAGAAAGGAAAATAATAATTCTGAAAGTAACTTAATTTAGTATTTATTTTCACCTTAATTTTCTATCAACTTTTCAATCATAAACGCGTGAAAATAGCTAAAACCATTTGCAACGTTTGTCTTTTCCAAGTCAACGTTGATTTAGAATGGAAAATATTATTTTTGAAAGTAACTTAGGAGTCTGTTTGAAAACCCGGAAAATGATTTCTGGAAATCATTTTCTGAGTTTTGAGTGTTTGGAGTCCGCCTCTCAAGTCTCACCTTAACTTTCTATGGACTTCTCAACCATAAACGCCTTGAAATATCTAAAATGAGTTAATTCCATTTTTAGTCCTAGATTTATAGGCGATAATTCACTTTTAGTCATTTTTTATCAGAACATCCTCATTTGGTTCTAGTGTTATTGTGTCATGACCATTTTTGGTCCTCCATCAACAAAATCATTGAAATGTCGTTAAATACAAGGATATTTCGATCTTTTTGTATACAAAGTAGGTTGATCCACTATATTTTTTATGTTTATCTTTTAGAAAGAAAAATTAAAATTGAAGACTGAAATGCTCTTGTATTTAACGAAATTTAAGCCGTTTTGTTGATAGAGGACCAAAAATGTCATGTCATAACAATACTAGGATCAAAAGTGAATGTTTTGAAAAAAAAAAAAAAGACTAAAAATGAGTTGTCAGATATAAATTTAAGGCCGAAAATGGAATTAACTCTATTTAAAAGTATTTCACGAGCTTGACTTCATGAAATTTAAAGTTGTATACTAATTCAACAAAATTTTAGTTAGGTTGGATTTTTTTATTAGATAAGGAATTATTAGTTAAAATTATTGTCATATTGCTTCAAATTTTATCACAGAATTGTCTATTTTAAAATGCCGCATGACATTGATTCTTACAACTTGCATATATTAAGCTAATGTCTAAATTTTGTTGAGCTGATTTTGAACGAATAATGTATACAATTTGTATTTTATTGAACATGAACTATAAAGTAAATGTGAAATTAACTTACACTACATGAAAAATTAAATTTAGATATAGTAAAATATGAAGTTAATCAGTGAAATTCGTTAGTATATTTAATTTACCAATAATTTTTGTATCCAATAATTAAAATCTTTTTGATAATTTTTTTTTGAAAAACCAATCTGCCGATTGTATTAATTGATAAGAGCTGTAATAGCGTCAGGAGGCATAGCATCCAAATACATAGAGTGTTCCTGAGTAAATGCTAACGAAGCTAAAGTATGAGCATGTAAATTAATCTGTCTAGGCACATAGCTTAACGAAATAAAATTAAACAAAGACATCATTGTTCTGCACTGGTCGATTATCACCCCAACATATGAGTGAATGGGTGTAGATTGGTGGTGTATGGTGGTTCGCAGTACCATACAATCTGTAAGAAGACACACCGAGTAAACATTCCTTTCAATTAGCCAAGACAGCGCCTCTTTAAATGCCAATGCCTCCGCCATGAGTGGTGAAAAACAAGAGGACAATCTTCCATTCTTTGCCGCAACAAACGAACCCCCGGGCGCTAATAACACAATTCCATACGTAGCCTCCCCGGTTTCCTGCCGATACCCTGCATCTATATAACATCGCATGTGATTGTCGGGCAACTCCGGTCCTGACTATGGCGGCGATTCCACCCGTGTGGTGCGGCTGTGCACATCGCCATATGCCTGGAGCATTGTTGCCGCCCCCTTTACCACCGATTGCGGCCGTGACATGGCTCCTTTCCACACGGCCGCATTGCGGCATCTCCATATATTGTAGAGAACCCCCACCATAAACTGTGTCTGTTCCTCCGTTAAGGCCGTCATAGCCCCAGTTAGCCATGCTGCGAACGAATCTGTAACAATGTTTGTGATAGGCAATTGTGTTATATTCCAAACTAATGCAGAATATTCACAAT